AAAATAAAAATAAATATATGAATAGCACTATCCAAAAAAATTACTTGAAATTAAATACTTACGAAATGCATGCTTGTGTATATAGGTCATGTTCTATATTCAAGTTGTCATGATGTTGATGTGAAACATTGGATACCGTAAAATATACCTACTCCAAATTCTAAAGACTATTATTTTATAATTTTTATTGATAATCATGTTTAAGTTATCATAAATTCATCCACAACAGAAACGAGTGCAATACACATAGCACTCCACTCACAGTCACGTAGTACCCAGAAAATCCTGCAAACCCTTCACTATTTTGCTCTAAATATAGGGGTATAGAAACTTCATCCCTCGTCATTAAAAATGAATTTTAAATGAGAAATGAGAAGAACGAAAAAACCTAAAAAAACCATATTTTTTTTTTGTATAAGAACATTGAATACATAGATGTTGATACATAAAATCCGGAGGATCTTGGACCAACGTAAATCCGGCCGTGAATCACACAAACGCACAAGAACACAAAGATGTATCGTGGTTCACCCCAATGTTAGGGCTACGTCCACACTGATGTTGATTCCATTTTACTGGATAAATGTATGGATTACAATAGATTGGTAAGGGAGCTCTCTGTGGATGTAGCCCTTGCCATTTTGCTCTTTGTTTGGCTAAGAGGGTATTGCCCTCTATTGTTGTGAGGGATGTGAGACTCTGTTTCTCCCCCCTTAGTGAAGGTGAGGAGGATCCCTTTTATAGAGTAAGGGTTTCCTCCTCTTACAAAGGTTATGGGCTCAGTAATAAGGTCCAAAGACGAGGTCCAATATATAGTACCAACAATAGAAATTTTTTTTTGCTAGTTGTTTAAGTGCAGCCATAGTTGGATCATTATCCAACTTTGAAATTCCATACTTACAAGTTACTAAGTCCAACCATTTTCACTTTGTAATTTTATAGTTCAAATTTCCTTTTGTTTTAAGTCTTAGATATTAATTTACAAAATTCATTTGTTTTTTTTTTCCGTTTCTTCTATTGATTATTGAATTCGTAAGTTGAAGTTTCTAATATACTTTTATTTAACGGGAACAAAACGTTAGTGAAAAGAACCAATGATGCAACACATTGTAAGTTCGAGCATTAAAGAAATTAATATGAGAGTTTTGAGATGAAAAATAACCTAGGAATAAAGTTTAAGGACAAATACTACAATTAAGCCTAAATTTCGTTATACGTAGGCATAAAGCAAGAAAACTGTATTAGAGTAACCCTAATGACTATAGCTTAACAACTAATTACTAGTTAATAATGAACCCAATATGCCTAGAGGAGTTAGTTCTGTGCATGGAATAAGTGCTTATAGAAATTAGTCTAACAATGGATGCTTGGTAGCTTAGCAATTCAGTAATGCTACATTTACCATTTATTTGTACCATCACTCTAATAGATGTAGAATCCACCAATACAAGTGAGAGAATTATCCCATCTCTATTCAATAGTTAGGTCCCACAGATGTTTTAGGAGGCGAATTATAAGTTTAGGGAGAAGAGAGAGTTCGCAAGTAAAAGTGAATCGAATTTTGAGTTTTAAGAAATAAAGCGGTACCTTTTAAATTACAAGAGGTAAAATGAGATTCAAATGAGATTCAAATGAAATTCTAAGAGTCGTAACTATTTTGGGCCAAAAAAAATACAATAAATCTTTCCTTGGGTTTTAAAAACTATTTTGGGCTGAGGCATGTGGGCAGACGGACCCTACTAATATCAAAGGCATATGGGCTTTAAACGAAACATGTTCAATCATTGTCTGTAAACTCGTCCTCAAAGGCTAAAACCCCAGACAAGTTTTGCCTTTTTTTATTTTTCACAAATATAATCTTAATAACATTGGGTTTGATCATCGTCCTCATCGGTACAAAATCAAGCAAAGCAACGCAGAATTTAATTTCTTGATCGAAAAAACCCCTACTTCTCAAAAAATACAAACAAAAAAAAAAAGATGGAGAGGGTGATGAACATAATAAAGCCAAAGCCAAATCCACAGCAGCAATTGAGAGATTGGCAGCGCAAGCTTCACCAAGAGTGCCGCAACATCGAACGACAAATTCGAGGTAAATTTCACCATATTTTCATTTTTCTTAAAAAATTTGGATTGTGGGTTAATTTCTATGATAGTTTAGGTTCATGGGTAATTTTAATTTTGGTTGTTTTGCAATGGGTTTTCTTCAGATATCCAAAGAGAAGAGAAAAGCGTGCAGAAAGCAATCAGAGAGGCTTCCAAGAGAAATGACATGGGTTCTGCAAAGGTACCATTTTTTTTCCCTTTTCAATTTGGTTTGGCCAATGTTTTGCACTTCAAATTCTCCAATTTTATGCATTTTGTTTTAGCTCTGTTAATTTTGATGACTTTCTTGTCTCTGAAGTTTCCTTTGATTCACACCAAATCATAGTAGGCTCTGCAGAATACATGGTTCGGTTAATTCGACAGAAATGGGATAGTAAAATGTCCAGCCATCGTGATATTGCTGTTTTTCTAGGGGAAAGAAGTTAACCCAGATAATTTTTAACATGATGGTAATTTATCTTTGTACTTGGAGTTGGAACTGATAAATGCTGTATTTTGGGAACCTTAGTTTTTCTATCGATACTTTTATGGCTGTGCCTATTAAATGTTAAAAGTAGGGATTATGATCACTGCGATTGGATTCTGTGTTGTGTTATAGTTTATGAAATTGAGAGAATATATTTCTGATTAGTTTGTTAGTTTAGTTGCCGGCTGTTGTTTGATTTATTCCCTGCGGTCATCCTTCTTCCCTTCTGTATATTCAGTTATCTACTTTGTGTTAATTATTTCAGTCACTTGCTAAAGAAATTGTGAGATCTAGAAGGACAGTGAACCGTCTTCATGAAAATAGGGCACAACTGAATTCAATATCAATGCACCTTGGGGAGAGTGTTGGTAAGTCTGTAATACCTAAAGGTTATGGCTCGATATGCTTGTATAAATTCCGTCACCAGCTCATTTCGTAATAACCTCAGATTCCTGTTATTGCATGTTTACATGTTTAAGTAGACTAGTTTCTTTTAGATTTTGAAACTGGAATATAATGTGTTGTTGAATACTAATGTCATTGCATGTCTTAAACTAGAAATCTCTTTAGGTTGTTTTACATGTAAAGGAGCTTTATAGTGGATTGAAATGACAACTGATCCCTTCTTAGAGAAGATGATTCTTAGACTAGCACAACCTTGCAAGACAATGGGAAGTTAGACCTCTTTATAGAAGGTGATTCTTACACTAGCAACGGTGAAAAACAACGTGAAGTTAACATATAACAAAATTGAAGATGAACTATCCTTTAAATAGGAAAATTTAAGGGAACTTTAACGAAAAGCTCCTGATACTGTTCACTTTAACGAAAAACCACATTTTTTCACTAAAAAATCAATCCTAGTACTATTCACTTTATCTTTTATTTTGTCCTTATCGTTAAAACTCAAAGTTTTCAAGCCCTTTTCATTAGTTTTCCTAAAATTTAAATGTTTTGCTAGGACGTTGCATTGGTAAAACTAGTGAGTTAGGAAACTTGATTTTTCATTTTTGTGGTTATGATTACTAATCACTTACTCCTGTTTCTTGTTTTTTAAGGACTAACTCAGTTTATGGTTTTTGGTAATATATCCTTGGGGTCTTTTCTCTTTTCCTTTTTTTCCACGTTTGCTAATATGCTTAATTAATAATCACCTTTCGGAACTCTAGCCTATTAACGTGAGTATTGGTGGTTGGTTTAATCATTTTCATTGTTCGTCTTTGATTCTGCAGCTATTGCCCGCACGGTGGGGCATTTATCCAAGAGTTCTGAGGTTATGAAGCTTGTCAATAACCTCATGAAGGCTCCAGAAGTGGCTGTTACGATGCAAGAATTTAGCAAGGAGATGACCAAGGTACTCCGTTATTTGTCATTCACTTACACAGAAGCACAAACGTGACAGTCTTTCACTTTGGTAGTCACAGTTTTATCATACTCATAGAATATGCATTTGCAGCAACATTATTCTCTATCAAGTGTAGATAGAATCCGAATACTCTTAGTCCCCCCTTTTTGTCCCAGATGAAAGGTTTTTGGAAAATGTAACCGCAAATAAAATAGGTTTTGGGAGAATAGTTTTCTGACATTATGGCCTATGTTAGATCTATTTGTTTGTGAGCTGTATATAGATGTTTCCTGCTTGAAGATTTAAATGTTATCATCACTTTTTGTGAGCTGTATATAGTTTATTGAACCTCGTAACTTGTAAGGTCTTCTGGTCAATAAACAAATGGTGTTTTTTTGGTCAAGTTATAAGCAAATGGTTATATTTTTTATTTGTAGGCAGGGGTAATTGAAGAGATGGTGAATGATAGTCTTGACACAGCACTAGACTCCGAGGACATCGAAGAAGAGATAGAAGAAGAAGTTGACAAGGTTTTGACTTCTATAGCTGGTGAGACAGCTGCCCAGCTTCCAGAAGCAGTCAGGAAGGAGAGGTTGAAGCAACCTGCTACTGCACAAGCCGGAAAGGAGGTATGTATGACTGCGACATGACTATTATGTAATAAGTCCCATTTCGAGTCGTAACTTTCTACCTTTCAAGGAAGCCGGACAACATGGTACATCATTTTGCTTCTGTGCAGGAAGAGGCAATAGCTGAGGGTGTCGATGATGAGGAAGAGTTGGAAGAAATAAGGGCCCGACTTGCAAATGTTAGGTCTTAAGTTTACGTTGAAGCCTTTCAGCCACTGTTTTATCCTCTCCCGGAATTATAACATGAGGCAGTGAACGTGTTGGACTTGCATGTAGATCTGACCGGGTTGAGATTGCTGCAGTAAGGCCCGCGTTTACCACTGACCGAGAACACCAGAGATGTACTGTGTATATTATATTAAAGCAGCTTCCGAAAGAGTTCACAAGTAAGCTGTTGTTGTGCAATATTCAAATGCAAATATATTTGTGTGCCAATGTCTAACTTAATCCCTGCATGGAGGTCAGTGTTGTACTAATGGTTTGTTACTGGCATTTGCTCTATAGACCATAACAGTGAAAAAACTCATTTCATGAAACTGCAAGCAAATTAGTATCACTGTGTATCGCGTTGCGTTTGTGTTTCTATTTTTGGTAGTCGAGACTGGAGCTTCGACCTACTTTCTACGTGTATTTACGCTTAATATTTGTACTCAAAACAAACTCCGCCTGTGTAAGTTTATCTTACATTGCCGGTCCCAAGCCTGGGTAAAGGAGGAGGGGGAGGGCGTCAGGTAGTCGATAGCCGGCACTCCTCAATTACGTCGAATCCTTATGAAAATGAATCCAGAACGAAATCGCGCTAAAGTTAGGGCGTCATCCGTAAGTGGCGCGTTGTGTGGCCCGAGCACAGTGATAAGTGAGCAAGGGTCGCTGTATCTCTATCGGCACCCGGATGCAGTGTTAAATGAGCAAAGGGGCCATAGAAACTTCGACACAAAACCGAGCGCAATGGCGTTCTAGGATTCATATAGCCGACCCCACTTAGTGGGAAAAGGCTTTGTTGTTGTTGTTGTTGTTGTTGTATTTGTACTCAAAACAGATTTCAATTTATGTATGAAAACTATCATACTCGTGCATCATAAGTTATTTTTACATGTCATCTGTTCTTTATTAAAGGGTGGACTGTTGATGTGGTGGCGATAATGTGTTGATAACATTGTTATCGGTTCATTATCGGCAATTTAGTTTTAGGAAATGGGGGTTGCATCAGATTTCACCTATCATTATCAAACTCTCCTTCTCAGATTGCTCTAGGACCATTTTAGGTTGTGGTATAAAAGCACTTGGATAAGAAATTTGGTTGGGCAAGTGCTTTGATAGAACTGCTTATTCTAAAAGTGGTGGGATTCTTGGCTGTCACAAGAAGCTGGATCCACATTCTAGAGTCAAACCTAGTCTATTAAAATAGAAGATCATATTCTCCTTATCACATGTTTGAGTGCCACAGCTGGAAATGAATCTTAATAGTCAATGCCTCATGTTAAGCTATCGTGCGCCAAACTAAACTCAATTGATTTTTGTACTACTCAACTTATAAATAATTAAATTCCATGGATGATGCAATGTTCTAAACTATTCTAATATCCAGGGGGAAAAATTCGAAATCCGTTGAAAGAAGGCTGTTCCATTGTTTCAGCCAACCGGCTTAACTCACATCTGTTTCATTTTATTGGAGGGGGAAGGGAAGAGAATTTGAGCTAAGTTACATAATGAATCAATCATAATGTATTGACTCAACACAAACATTAAACCGTCTTCGTTATTTACGTGAATCGAACCTAACCTCTAACTTAGAACGATAATAAATGCTAATATTGATTAGTTATTAATTAGGAAGGAGGATGGCTCCTTTCAAGAACTGAGCCCACGAAATAAAGGGTATAAGTGGCTCCATAGATTACCATTTATTTTTTCTTGGTCTTCAAAGTCACTCCAACATTTGGGATGACTTTCTTCAAAGCATGGTACTTCTATTTCTTAGGCTCTTTTTTTTTTGGAATTTTCTTCTTTATTGTTATGAAAACACATTTTTTGCGTGTTATCCGAAGGCAAACAGTGCCTTACACGCAAATACAACATTTTCAAGATTTCTTTGGATTATTTACCTGAAAAACTGTTGTCTTATAATTTTAATCTTTTTAGAGAACAATACTAGAAAAGGAAATACTTTGCCAACAAAACCAATAACGTTTGGCCTAGATCCGCACCAGAAAACTATTTGGTAAAAAGCCATTTTTATTTGAAGAGATTTAGTATACGATTTAATTATGTGTTAAGTTTAGCACATATAAGTAGAATTATTTGAAAATATATTTGTGAAAAAGTAAAGTATAAAGTGGTTAACTGCCTAAACTTTTATTTATCTATTATTTATTTTTATCTTAAACGTGTGAGAGATGGGACCTTAGTTCCTCTTTTATTTGTTTTTGTCTCTCTTTTTTTTTAAGGGAAATGTTATTAGCATTCCAAAAATCTCATTCTACATTCCTCACAAATGTATTTTTCTTTCTAATTATAGAAAATTTGGAGTGCCAAATGAGATTTTGGAGTGCTAATAACAATTTCTTTTCTTGCATCCCCTTCTTTTTCTCTCTTTTTTGGTTGGTGGGGTATGATGATTTCTCAAATCTCATTTATTAAATTCCCAAATATTACAATATCAGGTTCGACTCACACAAATACAAGCATGCTATATATTTCTAAAGAGGTCAATTCTACGTTGTAGCTCATTATGGCTTATTTTGATAAGTTTCAAATGATAAGTATATGTTGTACAACTAATTTTTGTAAAGTTTTTTTTTGGTCAAAGTAGTTCATGAGATTGACATAACTCATCATTGATCCATGTCGTTGAAAATGATAGAAGTGATCCCTGAGTTTGTCGTAGTAAATCAGTTTCATCATTTCGTGAAAAAATTGTCAATATCATTGTTACATTATCACGGGAACGACCACGTTACCACCTTTTAAGGGTATTTTTGTCAAACCAACAGCTCCACTTAACAAGGATATTAACAGACGCGTAAGAACCCACATGATTTACGGTGGACAAACTCAGAGACTACTTTATCGATTTTCAATGTCAAAGACCAAGATGAAGAGTTATAACAATCTCATAAACCATTTTGGCTAAAAATTCTTTTTGTAAATATCTCATCATTTGTCAATTAAAAAAATAATATTTCTCAAATATTATTCATTCAATATCAATTAAACATAATGCAATGAAAAACAAAGAAGAGAAGACTAGAGTATTAATTGAGAAGTTTGAAAGTTTCTTCCCTTTCAAGCAATAATCTTTTGATTAAAAAATAACAAATGATGGTTTCATAGCTCAAAGCAAACAAAATAATGATCCTTTTTTTTTTCTGGTCAATGAAAATAATGAGCTGTTGATCCTTGTTTAAACGCGATTCAATGCCTACGATTTATATTTTGGAAAAAAGCACGAAGACAATAAGTAAAGAACAAAAAGTTAATAAGAATTAAGAGTTACCAGCCAAATTAATTAATTAATTAATTTTTAAAACCCAAAAATAATTTAAAAATAATAATAAAAACAAAGGCCGTTACCTCAATCTTTCCTCCACCTCCACCACATTGGGTTGGACATCTCATACTCCAATGTCCATTCTTTAGCCTTATCACCCAACTCTGTTTGCATCCAACACTATATATATTCCCTCCAAACCCCACACTTTTCTTCCCATACAAGCAAAAAAACACCAGCAACAATGGCATCTCCTTCTACTTTCTCTCCCATTTCCCTCTCTTCTCTTTTCCTTTTCCTTCTCCTCCTTCCACTTTCATCATCTGCATTGAACCCCGCCAGCGGCCACCTTCCTTTGTCTTCCCCCGCCTTCTCCGCGAAAGGCCAAGCTGAGAAGTTCATCAGGGCCCTCAACCTGTTCCCAAAGCATGATGTTAACATTCTGTCCCGTAAACCTTCATTGGATGCTGAGGCAGATGCTGGTGTTGAGATTGTGGAGAAGCAGTTCAAAATGCCTTTTCTTGACGCCGCTTCCGGTCCTTCCGCTAAAGATCTTGGTCACCACGCCGGCTACTACCGCCTTCCCCATTCGGAAGGTGCAAGGTAAGAGAAAAAGGGTTGGTCTTGAATTGCACTATGAATCAAATTTGAGTTGGGAAATCGGAAACTCGGAAATTCTTGGACTGGATTTTATTTGAATCCGATTACTTTTTGCAGGTTGTTCTACTTATTTTTCGAATCAAGGATTAACAAGAACGACCCTGTTGTGATATGGTTGACCGGAGGGCCGGGATGTAGCAGTGAACTGGCTCTGTTCTATGAAAATGGTCCTTTTCACATTCAAAACAACTTGTCACTCACTTGGAATAACTATGGCTGGGACAAGGTGCTGTAATGGTTTGGACAAGGTGTTTTTTCTTATCGGTTTTCGCTTCTTTATGTTTCTGAACAAGTTCGTGTTTGGCAGGCATCAAACATTCTTTACGTCGACCAACCTGTTGGAACTGGTTTCAGCTATACTACAAATTCGAGTGACATTCCTCATGATGAAGCAGGCGTCAGCAACGACTTATATGATTTTCTGCAGGTCCTAATGATTATCTCATGTTACATACAATCGTCGTTGATGCATCACGAATGATAACTGTTCACGCACGAGTGAACTATTGTCGCTAAACTGACCTTAAATTTACGAGCTTCTCTTCATGATGACAGGGATTTTTCGCTCTACATCCTGAATTCGCGAAAAATGACTTCTACATCACCGGAGAGTCATATGCTGGGCACTATGTTCCCGCGCTTGCTTCTCGGGTTAACAAAGGAAATAAAGCAAAGGAAGGGAATCACATAAACCTCAAGGTATCCCTAATAGTTACAATGGACTGACTGCATTTGATTGCTTCGTCATGGTCGCTCTGATCTGATCTGTTTTGTCTCCTACGGTTGGACAGGGTTTCGCCATAGGTAATGGGTTGACCAATCCGGGAATCCAGTACAAGGCATACACTGATTATGCACTGCAAATGAAGTTGATTACTAAAGCAGACTACGACGCTATATCGCAGATAATTCCAGACTGTGAAGAGTCAGTGAAGGCTTGCGGTATTTTCCTCTTCATTTCCTCTGTTCTTCACATACCTGTTGATTACAATCTCGTATGAGATTTAATGGTCGTTGTACAAGATTATCTGACTCGTGAATTTTCTGATATCTGAAACTATCAGACGCCTCTAAGAGTGGAGATGCTTGTGAGGAGTCGTTAAGTATTTGCAACAGCATATTTAGCCAGATAATGCAAAGAAATAGCGGTATAAATGTAAGCGAAGCGGAAAACCCTTTATCATCGTCACAGCTATAAGTTCTAAGAAAGTAAATCCAAGTATGCTAAGAATCTACTTTGTTTCGGGTATGTGCAGTACTATGATATTAGGAAGCAATGTGAGGGGAGCTTGTGCTATGACTTCTCAAACATGGAGACATTCTTGAACAAACAAACGGTTAGGGATGCCCTAGGAGTTGGGGACATCGAATTTGTGTCATGCAGCTCTGTGGTATATGATGCTATGCTGAATGACTGGATGAGAAATCTGGAAGTGGGAATTCCTGCCCTCCTTGAAGATGGAATAAAGTTGCTTGTGTATGCTGGGGAGTATGATCTCATCTGCAATTGGCTTGGTGAGCTTCTTTGTTTCAGCAAAAAACTCATGTTGCATGTATTAGCGAGGACAAAGTACTTTCGGTAATTTTCATATTATGATGTCTCTCTATTTCGTAGGGAATTCAAATTGGGCTCATGCCATGGAATGGTCCGGTCAGAAAGCATTCGTAGCAGCACAAACTGTTCCATTCAAGGTTGCGGGTGCAGAAGCAGGACTGCTAAAAAGCTATGGACCTCTAGCTTTCCTCAAGGTTCATAATGCTGGTCATATGGTTCCAATGGATCAACCGGAAGCTGCACTACAGATGCTTACAAACTGGATGCAAGGAAATCTGGCCGTGGCTGAGTCAGCCAAAAGAGTTGCTCCCAATTGATAGCTTCAGATCCTAGCCTGAAAACACTTGGTTTTCAAGATGGTGTCTGTTGGGCAGGAATACTTATGATATACTTGTCCATAGCTATAGTTACCATGCTTGCTTTGACAGGCAAAAAATTTCCCAATATAGAGTCCGGGTTTATACAAAAAACGGTTCACTATACTATTTCATCCTTTTTAACGGTGTTCCTTGTCTTTGGGAAGTTCGACTGACCGAGTATTCGCAAAGCCTGCACATTCTTTTAAAAGTTGACAACTACACAGCAAAATTGGGTAGATGATTCTTTGGAGAACCATGCAAAAGGCCATGACTTTCTGCATTGTTGCCAACTTGCTATACAAACACACCTAAATTGGAACCATTGGCTTAATTTTTCCTAGTACATAGGCAGGCAACTAAAATGCCATCACAGATGTATCATGATTGGGCATTAACGCGTGGTTCCCTTGATAATTTATGTTCGTTGATCTTTTTCAATTCATCCGATCCGACAGCCGAAAATTAAAAAGATGTGTGAGAAGTAAAATGGGGTGTGTGGATATCACACCCCTATATATCATATCATTTTTAGTCATTTAACATATTCACAGCAATTCATATAAAAGTTTACCAAACACTCGGATACTATTTTTTTTTTGTTAAAATCACTTTTACAAAAAAAAAAAATTTATTAAACACTCAACAACTTCATTTTACAACTGTTTATTCTTACATCACAGCAGAAGCATTTTTTAAAAAAACACAACAGTACCAAACTATCTTTCAATTGCCTACAACACCAAAAATGTTAAAAAAAAAAAAAAACTAATGAAAATAGCTTGAAAACTTTGAGTTTTAATAATAAGAATAAAATAAAAGGTAAAATGAATAGTATCATAATTGACTTTTTAGTGTAAAAATGTGATTTTTCGTTAAAGTTCTTTAAAAACAATAACAAATTTTTAACACAACGCGTTACTTAAGTTAACAACCATTTGCAACCTAAGCCCAAACCTAAAAGTTTGACCGAAAAAAGGAATCCAAGCCCATCACGGTCTTTCCGAATGCTTACAAAGCAGGGAGAAGTAACAAATGCAGCGTTTGGTAATCGTAGAGGGACCTAAAATACTTTTCTGCGTAGTGAGTAGTGACTGCTTTCGTTCGGGTTCAGAGGGCTGGGATTGAGTTGTCGCGAATTTGGAATTTTCATTTATAATTTGCTGAATTAGAGATTTTGCAATCCAAAACAACAAAACGAAAATGAAGAATTCATATCAGAAGTATCTTGACAATGAATTTTATTCCATCAGGAAAAAAGGAGAAAAACTGATGAAGGTGTATTTACATGCAATGCAAAACATACAAACACTATATTGCAGCAACCTGAGAATGGTTGGATTCGATATGGTAATTAAGAATTTGACTGCGATTTCTGCTTGCGTGTGAGGTTGTATGAGATAAGTTGCTCAAAATCGAATATCGATCGATATATAAACCCAGGTACGAGATAAGCGGGTCTGCCCGGGACTTGTCAATAACAAACCTCAAGTACTGAGATTTTACGGTTGGAAACTGCAGAAGCCTCTGATATCCGATTGTGGTTCCGTTGATGACTTTATTCCACTTCCTCTCCTCATTCAGGACCTCAAGATGGAACTCGATAACTCGCTGTCCCATTTGAATCGGCTCTTGAACTTGCAGAATGTTGAATGACACTAATTTCTGAAGGTTCAAGGATAGAACCCATTTCGACTGGTTTCCCTCAGGAGCCCAATATGAATCAATACCTTCTTGAACGACATTACTGGGGGTGAACCAAGAATTGTTACTGCCTCCTCGTGTACTGCTCGCGTTGATAAGGGCCGTTTTGGCCAGATTATATGAGAATATCGACTTCCGGAGGTCATTGAATTCTTGAAGCACTTGAATATCTTCTGCAGATATGAGACCTGAAGAGTTTGGAGGTACATTGAGTAACAAGAGACAGTTTCTTCCAATCGATTTGTAGTATAGGTCAAGAAGGGTCCTGGCGGATTTTGGAACTTCCAACGAATGCCAAAACCAACCAGGCCTGATTGAAACATCGCACTCAGCTGGTACCCAATCATGCCCAAAGGGATCTCCTCCATTTGAGTATCTGTTATATAGGCCACCGTATTAACTCATTGCTTCGATACTTTCGAGAAGATAATAAAGTGCATAGAGAGAAAGGTGCTGGTTGCAGCCTCACGGGTTCTCTTACTGACCCACGCAGGATCTTTTAAGCATATATAACCGGTGCAGGTAAGTAGATGTGTGTTGTCTGATTGCATTGCAAACATTTAAATGCATATATACATATATTTATCCAACTGCTAGAACAACAAAGAAAAGATAATGGAAGTTAGAAGAGTGAACTCACTGGTAATCAGTGTCGCCAATCTTGGCATCACTCCGATTGAAAAGGGACCAACAAGTAGACCCAGCAACGCCAGCTTCATCCCCAACCCACCTGGTGTCAGGACCGGCATCAGAAAAAATGACAGCCCCGGGCTGGTGTTGGTGAATGAGACTGAACCAAGAATCAAAGAAATATTCCATGTCCTTCTCCCCTTCCCCCTTTGCACCATCCAACCAAACCTCCTTAATCTCTCCATACCTGTTCCGAAATTTATAAAAAGTTCAAAAAACAACGCCAAGTCTTTGAATATTTGTCCAAGTAATTCATCATAAATCAAACAAGAAAAAATTCAAACGACTTCTCGGAATGGCAGCATCGGCCAAGTTTTTTTTTTGGCCAAAGCAGAATCAGCCAAGTTGAACAACCACAGATGAATTAGAACATAAACCTTGATAAGGAAACCAAGCCCCAACAACAACAACCAGTTAAAACAAACATCACAAATATCAAGTTGTAGCCAATAATATTGTGACAAAATACAGATCAATTCCATTTAAGAGAGCACGTACAGACTGAATTGCACAGAACATGAAATTATAAAACGAAACCCATTATTTTACCAAAAAAAGGGCTCAGGTTGTAAATGGTAAAAACTGAGACTTCTAGTCCTAGTGTGGATAATTCTGACTTGATTCCTGCTCTAACACATGGAGAGGTACCCCTTTTTGCTAAAAGTGGTGTTTTTTCAGGAAATTCTGCTTATTTGTATTTGTTCGAAGAGTTCTTAGAGTGGAAATGGAGTTTCGTTTAGAAGCTTCGGGTTCCTCCTAGAATAAGAACTTTTTTTTTTTGTGGCCAGTAGGACATGGAAAGCTTCTCACCTACCATGCAGAGGTTTAAAAGAAGATTAACTACTAGTCCTTGTTGTCCTAGAAGTCCTTCAAGTTCTGAAACTTTGGAACACTTGCTGTGCAGTTATCAATATGCTCTCAAAGTATGGAAATGTCATGCAAAATCCTTAAGAGGTTGCACTTTTATTCTATGCCTTTGTGATTGGATTTTATTTAATCTGAAAAGCAAGTGTACTTTACATAAGTTGCCTTGGAAGGTGGTGTTTGATAATTTTTTTTTGGCATTGTCGGAAATGAAGGTGTAGTCGTGTGTTTAATCCTAGTTTGAGCCTCCTAATGTCAGTTTCAATATCATTCTGCAATGTTCAAGGGAATGGTACGAGGGAAATCAATCTTTGGGAGGTAAACCTGTTAGGGCTGTGGTCAAAATGCATTGGTGTCCTCATACTTCTGGAAGGTGTAAGCTAAACATGGATGGAAGTTTTCCGAAAGAGTCTTTTAAGAGGCTCTTACGGTTGCTGGTTGTTTGGTTTTACCGCTACTATCGGTGTTGGAAGTATAATTGAGGCGGAGCTATGGGGCCTACGCTTTGGTCTACAACTAACTTGGGACAAAGGACTCATACCTATTGATGTTGAAAGTGCTCTCTAGCAACTGTGACTACGGTGACTAAGGAAATTGACGTAAACCATCTCTTACTCAAATCGATCGATAAGTGCAAGAGAACCATGCTACTCATGACCTTGCTTCTATCAGAAGCTCTCTTCCTTAGGGCATTCAAGTTGTTAAAGACGTTCCTCCTTTACTTTGTATTCTAGAAGATGACAGTTTCTTTGCTTTTGTTGGGGCTTAGGCTTGCCACTTCACCATCATGCAGAAAACTGAGAATGCAGTTTACATTAGCCGTGATTAACTCATAAAAGCACACAACTTTTAGAACCTGTTTAGTATCCTTCTTGGATCCAATTTTTTCGTTTTCAAAAACGATGAACGTAGCTAAATTACTTTGTACTCATTAGTTTCAGAGACAAACAATTGGATCCCAGAAGGATACCAAACAATCCTTTAGACTTCAAAATTGCTGAACACAATTCCAGAACCACACAGTAAAACAAGAGGTAAGATTGCTTAATAAAAAAATGAAAACAAAATTCAATAAGATAACAAAAATTGCAGACAATTTAAATCACCCAATGCAGGCCATTATTCACAGATTCAAGCTTGATCAAACATACAACAACACCACAAAACCAAGAGAAAATAATCGATCAATAAAATCAAACAAACCCAATTCACAGAAACTCTAAATATACACCCAAAATTCATGAAAAAATAAAATACAAGTTACCTTGTGAGCAATTCTGTCATTTGACCCATATAGAACTCATTGTACTCCAAAGTCTTCCCATAGCACGGTTCGTGCCGATCCCACGGCGAAAGGTAAAGTCCCAATGCAATACCCGCGTCCCTAGCCGCCGCCGCCAGCTCACCAACGACGTCACCGCCGCCACTCCTCCATGGGCTGGAGCTTACGGAGTAGTTGGTGTACTCAGTTGGCCACAAGCAGAACCCGTCGTGGTGTTTGGCGGTGAGAATTACGCGCGAAAAGCCCGAGTCTTTGGCGACTCGGACCCACTGAGCGGCGTTGAGCTTGGCGGGGTTGAAGACCGAGGGGTCGACGTGGCCGGTGCCCCACTCGGAATCCGTGAAGGTGTTGGGTCCGAAGTGGAGGAACATTGCCATGTGGCCGAGCTGCCATTGGAGCTGCGGGGAAGAGGGGAGGGGCAAAATGGGAAGAGGAGGCGGCTTTCTGGGTGTTGGGGAAGAAGAAAAGGAGAAAGTGAGAGAGAATGAGAGGAAGACGAAAAGGGTAAGTTGGGAAGTTGACTTCTTCTTGTTCATGGTGGGTGGGAGAAGCTGGGGGAGTTTCTCAGTTGCAGACTAGCCTTTTGTTTTGTTTTTGTTTTTGTGTTTTTAATATTTATTTGGATCTAAAGAGTGGTTAGTTGGGTTATGAGATGATGTTGTCGCAAAGCAAAAGCAAAGAGGGGGGTGGTTGTTACTTGTTAGACAATGATTAAGAGCAATTCCACCCATAGAGCCCTTCTCCCTGGTAATCCACTATTCAATCCACCATATTAAATAGTAACTGCCTTAAATGAATAGTAACTACCATTAATAAACAGTAATTGCCATTTACATCTCCACCATTGGAAACCCTCCCTCTGACAATAAGCAATTAAAATAATAGTTTTTTTTGTTTGTTTAAATAATAAAAAAACCCCCTTTCTCTCTCTCTCTCTCTCACACAAAAAAAAAAAAACAATTACAAAGCCCTCGGGCCACAGGCCCGTCGACTTCCCACCCCACCTTCGCTCGGCCTCCCACCCTCACTCGGGCCCTTCCCCGCTGGAGCTGCTCCCACCGGCCCTCAGGCCCTTTCTCCTCCCCTGTCGCCCGAGCAACCAGCATCCGCTGGAGTTGCTCTAAAGGACAAGGCATGGGAATGGGAATAAAGCGGGTTGACTTGAAAAATCTTGCATTGCGTTTGATCGTCGCACTGAAAAAAATTTCTTCCAGATGGTATGAGCATGATTACAATAAAAAAAATGTAGCTGGAGAGTTGTATGTGCAATACTAGTGTAACTTGTATCATGTGGTGGGAGGGATGTTCACACAATTGATTTATATAATTATAATAGTTATAGGTCGATTGATAATCAGGTATATTATGAATCGACACTCAAGCCAGAGTTCATGGCCAAAGAGTTTTGTTTTCACTTTTTATGAAAATTGAATGCTCATTGGCAACTAGTCTAGTTGTAGGGGGGGGGAAATGAAAAATGAAAATTACGAGTTTTAAGTTTTTAGTTGTTAAAAAAAAAATTTGCACTAAAAAAACTCATTATGCATTCTTTGTAACTGTATTTTACTTTCTATATCTAGAACGTTTGGAGTGCACAATAACGCTCAAACTAAAAACAGGATTTTTTGTTGTTGAATAAACTAAAAACAGAATATTAAAAATGAAGTGATTATCAAACCACCATAAATTCTTCTCGATTAAAATGGGTTGGAGTTAGTAATGACAAATTGACAATGAGACAATGAATGAATTTACAAAACAAGTGAATTGGTTTGGTCCGACATGGCCTGTTTAGTTGGCTGATTGGGATAGGTTGTAACCAATTAAAATGGAATTGAGTCCAGTTCATTGTTTGTTATGTCATAATGTAAAATGGATACGACCGGATATGATGGGTTATGAATTCACAAATCATATCTTACATATCTTTACCAATCTCTATAGTCCAATTTCATCCGGTCCACCAAACCGGCCGGAAGTGTTTCATCCTTCAAATAGAGGTCGTCACGAGTACCGTGAGAAAGATGGGCACGGACTTGGGGGGAACGGATACATGCCAGTCTGATGTGGTATAGCAAACGTGAGGACAAGAACGCACCACTAAATTATTAGTTTTGCTTCCATTTTGGTTTCGAGCTCATGGAGACAGAAGCCATTATTTCACCACAAAGAATTCGGCTGTATGGTTTATACAAAAAAAAAAGAATTGGCTGTATGGTTTAATCAACTGTAATTGCTGAAAGTTGTGGATTGTTCAAGTGGTTAGGATATTCTTTTTCAACCCGATTCAAACTGTACATCTCTCCCTGATTGCTCGCATCAACTTCTTTTTTCTACTTTTTATGTCGGGTCATATGCTATAGATTGTACGAACTAAAATGGCCCAAGCTTTCGACCCAAAAGAATAACAAGGCCAATATTTTGACACAATAAATAATAATGAGGCCCAAGCTTTAGACCCACAACTTTAATGAATGCAAGCACCCTTTTTTTTTTTTTTTTTTGTTTTGAAAGGTTTTTTTTTTTTTAGTATAAGTAATTTTCTACACTAATCTCTAATTAGAAGAAGAGAGGAGGGTTTGAACTTGGAACTAAGTAGGTTGAAAAAGAATGCCCTAATTCCAGAGAAATTCACCAATTACTTTGTATTAAAAGTTTTAGCTTGAAAAACTTCTCTAGGCTTTAGAGACTAGAGAGAATGAAAATTCTCGAATACACATTAAATTTGCACATCTAAGTTACACAATAGAACAAGAGTCGTTGGAGCACTGTTTGGTCAATTAATCTCATGGTTTTTATTCCATTGTGTAAGTTAAATGTGCACTAGAGAAAACCCCATGGCCTGGAGGGAATATAAGAATCATGTTTTAAAAGGAAGGTTGAAGGTGAAGGATCGATGGTGCCATGAAACATATTCTTTGGAGGTGGGCCTAAACCTAGAGGAAACACGTTTACCCACAAATCGAGTCGGAGACGAGTGAGAGGAGACACTACTTTTGCTCAAAGATCTTGGATACTGCCATGCATGACCTAGTGTATCTAGCCTACCCACGACTCTTGTCCGACGGTACAAATACAAATCGTCAAATCCTTCTCATAAAGTGTTGCTGTTAGCATTGCTTGCAATATGTACCTTCTGGTATAGATTTGGAGGCATAAATCGATTTTGTTGAGCAAGGATACCTTAAGATCGTAGTCAAGAGTATTTAAACATTCACACAAGGTTTTTATTGTTACTTTTCTCATTCTCTAAAGTTTCTTGTATATAAAAAAAGGGGTATTTTGATCCAAATCCAAAAAAAACACCTACTTTCAGATCAAGTCCAATTTCATTTGATTTGTTGGTATGTCCATTTTGCCCCTTAAAGTAAAAATAAAAATATATTTTAATTTGTTAAATTTGAATTTCAAATGCCTTTATCTACTTTCTCACAAAAAAAAAAAATTAAAATCCATATACAACAAATATGATAAGTTTATAAAAAATAAAAGTAAAACAATTGCGAGAGGTAGATAAAAAAAATTAAAACTTGTGATAGAGGTACGCAAGTTATGTGTTTTTGTCCACCTCTATGGGTGGAAAAGGGTTTTCATTCCACCTTTGTGGGTGGAATTAATTAATTTATTTTTATCTACCTGTTTTGGTGGAATGATTATGCATCTTCAATCCTCCTTGTGTATAATTCATGGCGCACCCAATCCATCCTCCTCATATGGTCAGAGTTTGTATTTATCCATTTGATTCAAAGCTTGTTTTAGTTTCTGTGCTTGTACCTTGGTGTTTGGAGATCTTTAATTATGATGTCATCTTAATTTGTTTTATATTCTCCATTCTGTCCCAAAAAAAGGAAACAAAATTTTGTTTACCTGAATTGGTGGAAGGCGGAGATCGAAGTGGAGCAGTAGTTTGGTGACTATGATAAAGTCTTACGCACCTTATTATGTACAACTAATATAGTGGCATGTCAACTTTTCTTGTAGTGATTAAATGGAGTGATTTCAAATTTAGGAATTGACATGAAATTATAATAAAGCTACTATTGTTTGTTTAGACTATCACACTCCAAGCATGTATACCAATACTTGAGTTGAATAAGAATTGGGAAATGTTAGAGAGGCCATCTATTTAAATCATATGTTGTAATCCATATGACGTGATTGTTGATAATTAGATTATTATTAAAGTGTTGATTAACCTGCTTATTTCTTATTGATAACAAATCACATGGTTAATAATTTTGGTCTAAGCAATTAACCTGCCTAGCATTACTTATAAGAATCAATGGAAACAAATAAAATAAATGGATTTCAAACCATATTCATTGCAATTTGCACAGAGTTTCTAATCCTTTGTAGTAAATTTATCCTTCTCGGCAAATTTAAAAAAAATTCTTTGAAGTTCAACCCAACCAAATGAAATCTAAAAGTTTACTGAAAATACATTGATCCAAAAACATGGTATAGTTGGTCAAATTAATAAGTTAATGATTCAGTACATATTCATACTTAACTAATGAACACAATCAAATGAGTTGCTTCTTTAACAGCTTCAAGCTTACAACAACGCATATTCGGTCACTACTAAAATTTGAGGAATTCATAGTTATAGTTTTTCAAGTACGAATTCCTTCTATAGAAAAATTTCAAATTAACCTTCTTTCCTACCACAATGTCAAACTCCCTAACTAAATATACACCAACCTCAACAACCCCACAAAAGGGTGTAAAAGATGTATAAACTTGTTTAATAAATTGAACAACATGTTGACCAATTGAAAATGATGTAGCACAACTAGGTAGTTCATTTGTTTCGGGTATTTCTTGATTAAAAAAAAATGTTATGTTCTCAAAGTTATAATAGAATACTTCCAAGTTTTTAACCGTTCAATTTAATAAAAAAATTAATGGTTAAAAAACTCAAAATATTCGAGACTCCTCATGAAAATCCCTTCATTGACATACAAATTCTAGCTCCCTAAATGCTTCGGAGAGATTGACTGATTGATTGCTTTTTGTTCCTCTTCCCAAACTCTGTAATCCTTGAAAGTGAGAACCAAATCTCAATTCTCAGCAAACCAACCAACCCCAAATACTGCCATGAAATTCAACAGCCAAATCCCACTGCCTCCTTCCCTCCTTCCCTCGCTCTCCCAGCCTGGCTCACTCATACCGTCAGCCTGGCTCACTCATACCGTCATACGACCATGACATTCAAACAAAATGAGAGATTGAATATCACGTACAAATAAGGACCACAGTAACAAGAAATCCTAGAAAATTCCAGCCACGGGGGACACGAAGACCGATGCACCAAATAAAGACACGTTTCGTGCGGTGAGGCCGCAGCGCGAATCTTGAAAGGGATACTTCCCGCCATGGCTGTCGCAACTTGTGACGTCACTAGCTAGACAGCGAGGTTGCTGATAGGATATCCCTGGAGCGGAAGATCCCAGTCAAATACAATATAGGATTAGGAGAAGAACTCCTTTGACTTTTGTTCTCTACGTTTCTTCTGTGTTCTATAAGCTGAATAAGTTGCTTGAATTATTTCAGAATAAAGTAACATATCCTATATCTTGCCTCAACGGGAATATTACCAACTATCAATTCGTTTTTTATACAAATTTATGTCTAAATTTAAGGAGTTGTTAAAGAACGCAATCTAGTTCACGTTC